TAAACAACGACATCGTCTAAATAAATGTGTATATGCTTGCTAATTGTGCTTGTATAGTCTGGTCTGTATTGTTGATTTATAATTATATACGCCACTGATCAGGCTGTATTTTGTTTAGGTACTTTAACCCATTGTGCCCTTCACAAATAAATCAAGCCCATCCCTTGTATTTAAATATGACGTCTTGGCTTACTCTACCCTTTGGCAGCGAATACCTCGTTGTTGAAACAACACTATATATCTATTCAAATAAGAAAATGGCCACCGAAGGGAAGATATGCATGCAATACATACAATACTGGTTGCCAATGAGTCTTCAGGAACACATAAGTCACTCGATCTGCATGCATGTATCGGTGAATTTTGCCATTACCGTTTAAAAACAATTTGCGTACCAATTAGCATAGCAACTGCTAATCCTTTGAACATTAACATGCAATGTTTAAATGCATAATATTCAAGGATCTTTTACTAGTTGTCATAGTTGTCTTTGTGGCATTTCCCTAAGCAACGCGAATAATTGCAAATGCAAATAATTGTTGTTACACTCGGCTTTGTTGTTAAAAGTGATTATGGGACGAAGTTACACATCCATTTTTTATGATTACATTATAAAGAAAATTCAAAATGATTTGTAAAATACTTTGCTAAACCATCTTGGCCGGATTCTTTCTTGAGATATTCACCGTTTAAAGCGCCGTTTATCCTAATAGTCACGTCAAATTGTATAATGGCCGGGCTTCTGCTAAACTTTTTATAGCTCTTATGGATAACTGATTCAAACTTGTGGTCATAAAAATATATATTATATGTTTGTAGTACGATGACATAACACATATGGCCGGTTTTATGATTTTGACTGCACGATCAGTGGCGTCGCAAGCACGACAATTTAGACCCGCTATGCAAATTCAAAATTATTATCATTATTCATTTCTTTAGAAATTGATTGTTTTCAGAGTCAATGAAAACGAAAAAATATGCATAGCGGGACTTAATCGTCAGGCTAGCTACGCTATGCGAGTCATTATCCAAGATATACGAGGAGATTCCTGCCCGTATTTTAGGTATCTGGATCAATGGATCATACCAAGTCCAAAAAGCAATCCAAAAAATTTCTTCTGCAATCCCAAAACTGGGGTGCTAATAGTATTCATAGCCTCTAACACCATTACGTATACTATATATCTATTTCTTACAAATAGCGATGGCAAGCTCCAAAGCAATGCTACTCTTGCCGCCGCACAGTTCCAATGTAAACTATTATGTCATTTGATTCCTGTTATATTGTAAACTTTTCTTCTATATAATAACTACTGCAATTATGTACCAAGAAGTGTGAATTAATTAATGAATCTTGAATTTTGAGTCTTGGACGTTATAGTAAGGACGACAAATTTTTGCTTTCCATTGAATCGACCTACAACTTAATGGTTATTCTTTTACATTTCGATCATGGACTCCTTGTTTTACGATCATTTTTGGCAATCGAGTAAGTGGAAGAAGTGAATATGCTGTATGTGTTCGTGAACATGGGAGCAAATTTCCGTGCACTGTGCCACCGCGCCCTGACTCTGCATCGGTGCTTCCACTTCCATGGAAATTTCCAAATTTTATGGAGTTTTTGAAGTGAAGTGGAACTTTTTCTGAAACTGGAAAAATGATGGAAATTCTATGAAAATTTCGGTATCTAGAAAATACTTTCAATTGCGTTAAAATATGCATTAAAAGTCAAATTAATCCAATTTTCAATAGAAGGTTACATACAATATTACACATAATATGGACGTAGCGCTCTCTAAGGTTTGCATGTACACGTGTGCTCTACATGTTCTTATTACGTTCTCATCAATTTTATCCCCAATCTCGTATCCCAATTCGATCTTGAACTGGTTCAAAAAGGCCTTCAAAGAGTAAATGGAAGAGGCGTCCGGCGGCCAACTTGGACTCGTTGAGCATTCAACTCGTTGAATAAGGTCTTCAACGAATAATAGTTTCATTCAGGCACAACTACGTCACGAATTGTGTTGTAAAGAAACTGCACAGCGTTACTGCACATGAAAATAATTCGCTATAGTAGGCCTCTTATTACACTGGCCGTATGGCCCAGTGTTGAGGTTCCCTAATTCTCTGTGCGAAAATTATTTGTTTTGTTTTCGTCAACGTGAAATCAACAGGTGGGAAATTTGTCTGCGCATGCGCTACAACTTGCACGGTTTGTGAGAAAGAGACTTGAGGCGAGTAAATATAGTATTCTGATTTTTGAGCGTTTTATTTGCGTTTTTAGGACCTGTTCATATGGGCAGAATTTATCCCGGTTAGCGAGAAAACCTTTCGACAAGTTTACGAGCGAGATCTCGCCTTGTTACGAAAATAATATGAAAAGTTACATTGCGTTCATATGAGACGAAAAGTTTTTCCGTGTACCGAGATCTCGCTTGTTGACAGGCGAGATCTCGGTGACCGGGATAATGTTTTCCCCATATGAACACAACTTTCCCGCTTAGCGGGATAACTTTTTGTCGTGTCAGCAAATTTTCAATTCAATTGATGTTCAGTGCTACGTCACAGCCGGAAACTTTTCCCGGTAAGGGGGATAATATTTCTCCATATGAACAGAACAAAAGTATTTGGCTAGTCGAAAAGTTCTCTCGTTTACCGGGATAACTTTTGCCCATATGAACAGGCTCTTAGTCTCGTTTTTTTCGGCTAACCAAACAATTGTTAATCTATTGCATTGTGGGGAAGGCGAGGAAGGTATGAGAACATCCAGAGGCTAAAAAATGTATAAAATTGCAACTTTTGAGTAACCTTGTTCATCGTAACTGCCTCGGATTCCGATGGAAATGTCAAATAATTCCTATTATTCCATATTTTTAGATGAATGAATTATCTCCCAATATAAAGTATATGTTTTAAGGAGCAGTTTAAACCATATTTGGTTTTGAGGCTCTCGGCAAAATTTTAATTTTTTTTTTATTTCATTGTGCTAATGTTCACCCCCATAAAATCACCCCGTATTAAATTGGAGAGAGAGGGAAACCTATTCGCATAATTTCAAAACTGCTTATATTTTCTGAAGCACCAGACCCTATTCTTTCAACGAATATGCTTTTACGAACATAATTAGCAAACACATGCAATTTCTAGCGGAATATTCAGAGGCACCTATTCAGACTATTACAGACTATATCAGACGGTTGTGCCGTTTTTGGTATCAACACGTATTTTCATATCAAAAATACTTTGATTAATGAATGAAGAAATCTTTGAAGAATTATTTAGAGATTAGATTTTTTATGTTGAAAATTGAGCTTTTTCCTATTTTTAGCAAAATCACGATTTTTGCACCAAGTGTTTTCAAGGATTCAATCGTAAATAAACTTTAAGGTATTTCTCAGTAGAAAAATGCGTGAAAAATAAATTTTAAACCCACCGTGAGTTTAGTTTTTTAATTTCATCTGTGCATGCGGGGAGTGAAAACAACTTGCATCTTCGGAAAAAGTTAATTTTGTCAATATTTCATCGTAGAAATAAATAGTTTATAATTGCCCGATTTCAGTTTAAAGTCTCTTATCCAGGACATTTTTCAATAGCCTTTAAATAAACGAACTTAAATTCTTGCACATCAACAGTTTCATTCCCAAACGAGAAGCCCAAAAACTTGTTTTTGCTCATTTTAATAATTTTTCAAAAAATGTCGCTAGCACCCGCAATTTGCCGACCAGCGACAGCAAATTTCTCACCAGTTCGTGAAATCGACCTACGTTCATAAAGCGAACCGCTGATCTGCAATGGATCGCGTGCTCAAGTCAAAATGGCCGCCAGGTAAGGAGCGGAAACTATGCAATAGGATTTTTGTCTTGCTTGTTTATCACTATATTGATATAGTGTTATTTGAAACTTAGCATACTCACATGTTTCTGGTATATTACCTCCGTATTGGTTGAACCCTGTAGCCTGTACGTCTATACGGACGTTTTAAAATCCTTAAACATTTGTGTCTTGGGGGCCTTCTGTTTGTTTACTATATATTGATGCAATTTTCTTTGAATTTTTAAACATACCATACTCGAATGTTTATAGTATATTAACTGCGTATTAATTGAACCTTATAGCTTGTGTACAGACCACAGAAGGTACAGACGTATTATAAGCCATGAAAGTTTGTGACTTGGAGACATAGAAATTACGCAACGGTTATCATAGGGTCGTATAGTTTTCAAAGTGAACCGTTCTAACCTTTGTACCTGATGCTACACGCCAGCACGCATTATAAGTTCAGTGTGAACGCCCGTTCAGGCGTCTTGTTGCTATACAACAGTCTTTCTATACTATTTTTACTTTCATATCATGTGTAATGGAATAAGTCGACATGTAGAGTAAACCATGGGCCATGCTCGTAATTTCCCTGCGACTATATTGTTTAGATAACAAGGCTTTACGTCAGCAAACAAATCCTCTTCTAACATGGCTTCCAATATTTTTTTGTATATTTATACTGGTTAGCACTTTAATACGCAGGTGATTGTCCACGAGTACTGTTACAACAGAGCATATGTGCGCCAGTGCAGTGCCGTAGCGAGCTCGATAATTGAGGGGGCTCATATTCATATATTCGTGTTCACAGACCATAAAAAACAATCGATTTCAAAAGAGTTAATAACGCCGAACACGAATATATGAATATGAGCCCCCCAATTATCGAGCTTGCTACGGCACTGATGTGTGCACAAACTAAAATACTTTGTTTTATTAATGCATTTAATAGACAACAAAAGGAAAGCTAGTTTTTAGCTAACGTATACGACTTCAACTTAAACATTACGTAAGAATGAATGAAATTCAAAAGGAATCAATTAGTCTGCCAGCCAGGCTGGCAAATCTGTAATATTAATCATTCAAGTGGTTATTTATAAAAAGAGTGCATGAAGATCCAGTTTTAATGCATATAATAAATGTTAAGATTTATTGCAAAACTATATAAGTATCACATGATTGTCTAAAGAATAATTTCTAATCAAGGAAAAGCTATACCTATATTGGTAACGTAGGTTGCTAAAGTTTGGTTAATATCATTGCCATGTAATTAAAATTCCAGTGTTCCCAAGGAACTGCAGCCAAGTTTTAATTATAATTGTAGTCGTACAGAATTTCGTTTACAGCACACTGCCGTCACTACTGCGTTATCCCTTGGTGTCATCACAAAATCTTCATCACAGCTGTCTTTATTTACGGTGCATCCTTGTGCGTCAAACGTTTGGCTTGCTTTACATCCACGCACACCACTTGCTCGACATCCAATAGCAATCTCGAGCTCGTGACAGGTTGCTGTCTTTCCAGATTCTGTTATTTTCCTGCACTCTGAAATTAATAAAAATTCGTAAATTATAGCAACTTTCAAATTTTTTTTTTCATGTCGCACATTTCCAGCGAAAAGCGTTTCAAATATTTAATGTTTTGGCGCCTCTTTAAAGATTATTTAGTTTTAGCTTTATTTCAGTTTGGTTTTAAACAAGTAACTACTTTTTAAATGCATTTCGCAAATTAAAAATTAAAATAATAGCGCAAAATTGCCAATAAAAATACAATCTTCAACGATGGTTCAAAATTGACGCCATCTTTTATTTTAAAATTTATTTCGCCCATGTCAATTAGTATAGGTAATCACACGGGAAGGAATGCAATTAATGATTAACACTACGAGTACGTGATCGGATATTTGAAAAATGTGCCAATTTAGTAAAATTGCACGAGCCGCGAAGGCAGGGGCGGATCCAGGATTTTTCGTACGTTAGTCAAAGTTTTCGGATGTACAGTCTAGTTTTGCGAGCGGCGAATGCCCGAGGCACCTAGGGGGGTCTGTCCCCCAGGAATTGTTATATTTTTAAACCTCAGAAACGCAATTTGCATCACTCAGAAAGCAGATTCAACAAAAAATTAACTTCATGAAATGGGAGATAATTATAGCAACTATCAGTATGACTGACTCTCACAACTCGCTCCTTAGGAAAAAGTAAAGGAGAAGTACTTGCAGAAATGTGATAAACTGATAATTGTGGAAGAAGTTTCATTTTATCAAATTACGGATTGCTAGTATTATGTTTAACTGTCTCATGATATTACTACACTCATTTTTGTTGCCTAATAGCCTTGTTGAGTCAAGTTACAATTTTACATATGCATGGCGCGCATCTTGTTCGCTTATAAATATTCTTATGCTGTCTAAAACGAAATAAAACTTACATATCACATGATTAAATTTACCTTATTGCACTTCAGAATAAAGATCTGGGCGCCAATACTTCTACTCAAACAGTCAAACTGTAGTTCGTGCTATTCGTGGCGCTTACGCCGCTTAGCAACTGCTCTGACACTGAATGGAACTCTCCGATATTTAGCGTTGATTTATTTTTCCTCCCAAGATCAGCGCAACAGTCTTGTAAGACAGCTAAATCATTCACCGCAAATGCGGATTGAACCGTTTCGTGAATACTACAAGGACTGGATTCTGGAGCAGCAGACATTTCCGAATTTTCCGTAGATATCTTTAAATTGAATCTTTCGACAAAGCTACAACATGACACTTCGAATGAGCGCGCGCTAGGAAAGACTTTACCACGCGTCAAATATTAATGATATTCCGACTAATGCATGGGCGCCCCTGATTTTTGTAAATCGGTCAGAACTCCCCACAGATCAGTCAAAATCACAAAAAATCGCTTGTTTCCATGGCAATAAGTGTCTAGACCAATCAGAACACTGAATTTTGACTTTTTGACTGACCGACTTTGCGTATGTCAGCTGCTCATTGACTTGACTAAGCTCGTCGGCTCAACCATTGTATGAAATTTGATCACTGGACAACAGTTCGATTGGAATGTTAATTGCTACCGCTGCATGATAATAGATACTGGACTATTATAAGGTGTCGCTGCATGATGAAAAATAACTGGACTATTGGTCGAATATTTAAGACTTTAATTAAGTTTGCAATTTTTACATTAGTCGCGTGACTGGTTTGACGACCCCTAGATCCGCCCCTGCGCGAAGGCGAGTGCAATTTGGCACATTTTTCAAATATCACGAGTAGTGTTAATCGTTAATTGCACGACTTGCTAGAACACAAGATTCAAACTCAAACAACATATTTTAGAGTAAAAAAATCTTTATAAATTGTATTACCAGCTTACAGTACATAGTCACGTTTCGCTGCATCCCGCCGATATTACTTCTTAAGACTGTTTCAAGGTATTTTTCACAGGCTCTTTTTGCTACACAATGTTTTTTAAACTCATTATTGTGCCAAAATTTAGTTAAATTCGTCCACATTGTTATAAATACATATTTAAATTTCGCCGCCATATTGGATTTTGTTGTTTTGATTTCCCGCTCCCCCCAGCCATCACGGACTCCTGGAGAGTGCAATTAATGAAGGTAATAGAACGAATAGGAGTGCTATTAAAGCTATAATCATACGAGTGATTACAAAATCAACCGACCGCGTAGCGGGAGGTTGATTTGTTAATCACGAGTATGATTATGGCATTAATAGTACGACTTAATTCGTTCTATTACTTATTAATTATTTATCTTCTTTAATCAAACTGTTTAATAAGGGAGAAAAGCACAAAAATACAATTTGTTGAAATTCAATATAATTATTAAATTTTTGTCACGACAATTCTTAGTGAAATAGTACAATTTTGAATTAAATTAATCATAATCAACTTAACATATTATTAACTTCCGGGTATTATTTCCGGTATAATCACATGACAACATTGCTTGAATTATTCAACACATAATTGGGAAGCCATGTTTGCAAGTTTATAACGTGTTCAAAATTGTGAAGTTCTTTAGTTCAGTTTAATCTGAATCTGATTCAAATATAACCGCTGGTTGTGTCTACAATCACTTTCAGAAGTTGTTGGGACACATGTAGTTTAAGATTGTAAGTGGATCATTACAGTTTTTTACACATAATACCGCTCCCCTCCCCCTCCCCCCCACCCAAATCAATGTTGCTCCCACCAAAACACATCAAACCTGACGAGAAATGGGACACAACATTGAGCAGGGACCGGGGGGGGGAATGACGTTTGTTCAGTGAAATTCAAAGGTTTTGTGGCATCTGTCGAGTCCCAAGACTTTTGAAACGGATTGCCTGAAAGGCAATGATAGGCATATTTACCCTCTTTGGATTACCGGGTGTTTTAGAATATCAGTTTCGCGAAAATCATATAGCATTTAGTATAACATGTTTACTGAATTGCATTGGCATATGTTATGTCCTTACTGTACTTCGGTTGTGGTCAATATCTTTGAAATGTAACACAATCCAACAGTATATTATAAATGAGCTTATACTGAAAGATGTGAGTGTGGGGAGGGTAGTATGCCGAGCGATTAAATCTGGTCTATATGCAAGGGAGAAAACACATCTATCTGGTTAATTATCGACCTAGGTTAATGCTATATAAAATGCAAGGGTAATTTATCGAAGGCCACTTAAATTTTGTGCATATTTGATATGAAACATGTATGTAACATAAAACGGCTTGAACACGTGCTCGATTGACACTCGGTTGTCACTTTGAAACAAAAAGCATTTTCATTGATACTGACTTTCAATTGTCGCGGCATAATCATTTTCAGAACATTAAGTACTAAGCAAACGTGTTTCGGGAGCGCTTATTGATATAGTACGGGTTCTACTTAATCACAAAGTATATAAATTGTATAAAATGTATCGATTGACACTCAACTCTAGAAATATCACTATGATATATCGGATTTAATTATGTAAAAAAGTGTCAATCGATACAAAACTTGGTTTAATCAATTTCAAACCCTTTCATTAATAGCAAATACATTGTTAGACATTCTCAACAGATTATTCTTAGCCTTGTTCCGTTTTAAAAGATGTCTAGTGTCCTGTTATTTCATATTTCTATAGTGACAATCGAAGTTTCAATCGATGCTAGTTTCATTGCATTCGTCTCGTCCGGAAACGCTTATTAGCATAATTAGCGTATAACACTAACGTCAGTGTTGTATAATGCGTACAACGCCGTATACTGCGAGTCCCTTTCGTTACACATTTTTGGAAGCCTGTGCGACTTTCTTGCTTCGGCGGGTCGCGCTAGTACTCGCTAACGCGTCAGCATTGGGGAGGTCTATAAGCCCTGGAGAAATCACCTAGTCCGGGTCTTCCTTTACCACGTACAAATACGCGGAATGGTAATTTTTGAGATTGTCTACGGAAACGTTCAATTAAATACCACATTTCCTCTTCTCCGGGTCTCCTATAGCTCGCCACCTCGCTCTTGTGGACAATTTTTTTGGCCGTGTGGAAGTGACTACCGCCGTTTCCATGAGCCTTCGACATTCCCACCTACTTAGTGCTTCTTCCTACCCATGCGTCGACAATTATATCTGCAAATTCTGCTCTAGAACGATGTCAAATATCACATTGACCATAAGTGATTATAAAGCAAACGTTCTTTACCTTCGGAGTACCCAAATTAGCAGTTCACTCAGCCGTTACTCGCATGCGAAAGTAACCGGATGTTATATTACTATGCTATAAATTAACCGTAAGTGTGACATATCTAGCGTAAAATATTCGCGATACCTATCTTTATATTGACGGACTATCTTTATATTGAGGTTACTCTCAAATAACCCACTTGTGCTCTGCCGAAATTTGTAAAAACAAACAACGATTAAAATGCTATATGACATAACAAGTTATATTCATATCCTGTTAATTATTAACTTTCAGAATTTTAATGGGACTTAATTGTTTTAAAATGTAATAATAGAACTTCTGTGAACGAAATGGAGCAGAAATACTTCGTTCGCAGAGCATTCTATCCCCTGTACTTTTGAGATATAGAATGGGGTTATGGCATATGGGGCCGAGACATCTTAAAGGCAATGAAAGACATATTTAACCTCTTTGAATTACCGGGTGTTTTAGAATATCAGTTTCGCGAAAATCATATAGCATTTAGTATAACATGTTTACTGAATTGCATTGGCATATGTTATGTCCTTACTGTACTTCGGTTGTGGTCAATATCTTTCAAATGTAACACAATCCAACAGTATATTATAAATGAGCTTATACTGAAAGATGTGAGTGTGGGGAGTGTAGTATGCCGAGCGATTAAATCTGGTCTATATGCAAGGGAGAAAACACATCTATCTGGTTAATTGTCGACCTAGGTTAATGCTATATAAAATGCAAGGGTAAGTTATCGAAGGCCACTTAAAGATTGTGCATATTTGACACGAAAACATGTATGTAATATAAAACACTTGAACACGTGCTCGATTGACACTCGGTTGTCACTTTGAAATATATAGCATTTTCATTGATACTGACTTTCAATTGTCGCGGCATAATCATTTTCAGAACATTAAGTACTAAGCAAACGTGTTTAGGGAGCGCTTATTGATATATTACGGGTTGTACTTAATCACAAAGTATATAAATTGTATAAAATGTATCGATTGACACTCAACTCTAGAAATATCACTATGATATATCGGATTTATTTATGTAAAAAAGTGTCAATCGATCCAAAACATGGTTTAATCAATTTCAAACCCTTTCATTAATAGTAAATACATTGTTAGACATTCTCAACAGATTATTCTTAGCCTTGTTCTGTTTTAAAAGATGTCTAGTTGCCTGTTATTTCATATTTCTATAGTGACAATCGAAGTGTCAACCGATGTTAGTTTCATTGCATTCGTCTCGTCCGGAAACGCTTATTAGCATAATTAGCGTATAACACTAACGTCAGTGTTGTATGATGCGTACAACGCCGTATACTGCGAGTCCCTTTCGTTACATATTTTTGGAAGACTGTGCGACTTTCTTGCTTCGGCGGGTCGCGCTAGTACTCGCTAACGCGTCAGCATTGGGGAGGTCTATAAGCCCTGGAGAAATCACCTAGTCCGGGTCTTCCTTTACCACGTACAAATATGCGGAATAGTAATTTTTGAGATTGTCTGCGGAAACGTTCAATTAAATGCCACATTTACTCTTCTCGAGCTCTCCGATAGCTCGCCACCTCGCTCTTGTGGACAATTTTTTTTTGCCGTGTGGAAGTGACTACCGCCCTTTCCATGAGCCTCCGACATTCCCACCTACTTAGTGCTCCTTCCTTCCCATGCGTCGACAATTATATCTGCAAATTCTGCTTTAGAACGATGTGAAATGTCACATTGACCATAAGCGATTATAAAGCAAACGTTCTTTACCTTCGGAGTACCCAAATTAGCAGTTGACTCAGCCGTTACTCGCATGCGAAAGTAACCGGATGTTATATTACTATGCTATAAATTAACAGTAAGTGTGACATATCTAGCGTAAAACATTCGCGATACCTATCTTTATATTGACGGACTTTATACAACCTCTCAAATAACCCACTTGTGCTCTGCCGAAATTTGTAAAAACAAACAACGATTAAGAATGCTATATGACATAACAAGTTATATTCATATCCTGTTAATTATTAACTTTCAGAACTTTAATGGTACTTAATTGTTTTAAAATGTAATAATAGAACTTCTGTGAACGAAATGGAGCAGAAATACTTCGTTCGCAGAGCATTCTATCCCCTGTACTTTTGAGATATACAATGGGGTTATGGCATATGGGGCCCAGACAATCACTTTCAGAAGTTGTTGGGACACATGTAGTTTAAGATTGTAAGTGGATCACTACAGTTTTTTACACACAATACCGTTCACCTCCCCCTCCCCCCACCCCAATCAATGTTGCTCCAACCAAAACACGTCAAACCTGACGAGAAATGGGGCATAACACTGGACAGGGGGCGGGGGGATTGACGTTTGTTGGAATTCAAAGGTTTTTTGTGGCATCTGTCCCAAGACTTTTGAAACTGATTGTAGTTCGGTGTCTTCTGCTGGAAGAACAGCTAGGTAGGTCATTTTCGTCAGAAAATATATAATTTAACAGCCCTCGAAAACGAGGTCAGCATTCGGCAATGCCGACCTAAATGCCGATCTATCAACCTCCCAGGTAGGCAATTTTTTGCCGACCTTAATTCAGCCAAAGTAAGAATTTTTTTGGTGCTGATAGCTGTTAAAAAGTCAGCGATTATAGAATTCGATTATTAGGTCGATTATAGAATTCCAAATTAAAAGGTCAAAATTTGTGAATTCCTCCATTTTGAAATTTTTTACAACAATAAAGGAAATAAATTTCTAAGTTTGTATTCTGAATGCTGATTGGCTAGTTGTAAATACTAGACTGATTTTCATTGGCTGTAGACAAGAATGTGATTACAGCTCAGAAAAAGGTGCGTTTAATGCTCAAATCGCACTCCTGTAAACCAATGAAATTGCAGTATTTGCCACTGATAAATAATTAATGAAATAATTGCACTCATCTTATCCAATCAGATTGCAGTAAATTTGTCATGTATTTAATAAATATATTTACATGAATATAACAAAATATAGAAATTTGGGGATGGGAGTCTATATATACAAACCTTTAACAGTTTAGAAAACTTTTTGATTTAGACCCTTAGTTTACAATATAATTATCTATATTTATAAAACGCGTTAATACTTCATGAAGAAAATTCAAAAGAAATGAATGTTTAATCAGTGTTTGTAGATCGCATAAATATTTGTCCTGATTTACATAAGCCTTAGCTTTGATTTTATCGGCTAAGACAATGTTTATTTTTAAAATTACTTCGCCAATGAACTTATGAACTCATAAGATTGGTCGTTTTAGAAGAACGATAAAATATTCACATCCGATTTTATCTGATATACAGACTATGCTGGTAAACCAACTGGGGTGTGTTTTTTCCAACAAATTACGGGCGGAACCTGGGACAAATCTTCTCTGGGGGCCGCATGACATCATTATTTTTAAGCTAGACCCAAGACAGTCACCCTGACGATCGACTATACCTTAGATAGGCTTCATGTGGAGCTAGTGTAAGTGGCCCTCAATTTCAAAAATGCGCTGACCTACGTAAAGAATCTAATTTTAGGCTCTCTCTTTCAAGTTGGGGCCCCATTGAGGTGGGGGCCCGGAGCAATTTGATAGATCCATGATTGAATGTGAGACATTTTTACACAAGATAAGAATTCAAATAATAATCACTTCAGAAGCTGGGGAGGTTTTTTTGGTATTGGAATAAATGTACTTTAAATCTTACCTTTAAAGCAGACTTTTTTTGTACCATTAGCTTTATCTACATGACATAAAATATAGCACAGTTAATCTTAATGAACGTAATTTAAATGAAAATGGTTATGATCATTAAAGGCTGTATGTTGTTCTCCTAAAATTGCGAGTTTCAAGATGAGGTTCGAAGTTTTATTGGTCCAAATATTTATTCCATCCAGGTTTCTTCATGAATCTTACTAGTATAACCGAAGCCAGATGATCCCCACCATCTATACTTAAGTAGTTTCGAATTATTGACCCTTATCCAAGATTAGAGGTAAGGGTGGGTGGGGTATGTGTGTGGGTAAGGTTGATTAAAAGTCTCAAATTTTGATCTTTTTAGACAGTGTGCTGTCGCCATCTTTAATTATTCATGCAGGGTATGTATCTTACGCGCGTACTTTACAAGTGAGATCAGTATGATCTGAAAACTCGTTTGTTGTTTCTATTTAAAATTGAAGGGATATATTTTAAACAAATTTTGATCTTTTTCGGTTTCTTTATAGAGATAGTTTAATAAGACCACTCTTGATGTCATCAAACCACAGTAAATTAGATCGAGTATTAATCCAAGACGACCGACACCTTATCGCTTTCAGGCAAAGTATATATTCTAATATTATATCTCAAATTCAAATTGTCCAGTGAAAAAACAGCATTTGTACACCACGTGATAGCGTGATTTTTTACGGTAATTCACTCAAATTCATGATTTCGCAATCCAGCGTGGGATACTATAATATCCCACGGCAGATCCACAGTGGGATATTATAGTACCCCATGCTCACGCGCGACGCGTGGACGCCACGCTCTGAAACAATATAGCGTTCGCGAGCTGTTGTTTGTATTAATTTCGAACAGAACTACAGAAGATTTAATAAGTAAACCAAAGATTTCAACACGTCTATGTTACCTTCAACGATCCAAAGGATACTTGCTCAAATATTTTAAGGAGAAAACGTCAAAAACTCAGGTATAGATAAGAAATTAAAAATTGTATTCGCGTAGTTATTAATATTCAGCAAGTTTTAAAGTTTATTCTGAACTTAATAGACTCTTAGTGAGTTCTTTAACTTTCGGTATAATATAATTATCATTTATAGACCCTCCGCTCGGGGAATTCGGCGATATTTCCCTCAGTGATGATATTTTCCTCGGGGCAAAGCCCCTCGGAAAATATCATCACTTCGGGAAATATTACGCCGAATCCCCCTCGCTCCTGGTCTATAAATGATAAATAGCTAAGCTATATTTTATAAACGTTTTTTTCCGAACGAGACAATCTAAATGGTCCAATGCCTTATTAAGTCTTAATCGTACCACATGGATTCGCGAGCATTTGGGAATTTTTTCACTGAATTTAAACTTCTGCTTTATTGGACCCATGGGAAACTTGGGTTTTGTCTTACTGGTTTAATATTCTGTCTTACCTGAATGGCCCGGGTATGCTGAGTCTTCCTTACTAGATTTAGGTTTCTTCTGAATTCCTTCAGGTTTCTTATTGTTTTCAGGATTCATCTCACTGGATCCAGGGTTCTCCGTCGTGGGTGGTAAAACTTCTTCCCGTTTTTTAGGTTCTGAAGCTAAAAAATACAATAAGATGTTTTTATTTGACGAGCCCGCTGTTATTTCTACAGTTCTTTCGTTCTCATTCCCGCTATATTACAACACTGCTGTTTCGTAATAAAACATCTGAGGAATCGTTGAAATTACACATTAAAATTTTTTAACTAAACCATGAATTCGTTAGAAAGGCAATCGACCTATATGCATGCATGAGCTTCGCCAATAATAGCTAATTTCCAATAAGATTCTTGATGCACGATTCTTCTTTTCAAGATATAGAGCAGCCAAAAAGGATGCTTTTGCAAAATGCTGCGTTCAGTGTCGAATTAAGTTTTAATTTGAAGGCAATCAAACAGTCCTTATGGCGATTGTCACTTATTTTTTTATTTTATTTTGTTTACAAGTTTGCCATTGCAATAGATCTATAGAATATTATGGTTACAAGTGACTGGAGTTTCCTCACAGTGATAGTTCTCCAATAACAGGGTTCCAAAAAAATCAACTTATAGTATATCTAATTGCTTTAGAAATTTAAACAGACATAAAGCAATTAAACACAAAACAAGAAAACAAAGCATGCAAAAGCAATGACGAATAAACTAACAAGAACTAAGTTTAGCAACATGTTCGCGTTGATATAAGTTCATATATAGTGGGCGAGTGGTGCGACATTTAATCGGCAAACAGACTTGAATGTTCTTGGATCTACCGGATCATAAATTTGATGGGTTAGTTCTACGTAATATTTCGTTAGATTAAATTTAAATGTAGTTAGAAATATGATGGTATTTCTTCTGAAGCAGGAAAGCGTGTTTCACACATTAGCAAGCATGCAGCTCTGTGGTAAAAGCTGTTTTGAAAAGAACGGTTCTATACTTTTGGTTATATGAATTATAGGTTGCCGTTGGTTGTAATTAATCTTGAAATTATGCAAATAAAGATTATTATTGTAAGTATATATAAGATGCGGTACGCTCCGGTATTTGTAAGTATAGAGATGCGGTACGTTTCTTTGCACGTGTTAAGTTTATAGTTTACATTTTTTTTATATGGACTTAAACGAAGTGGTGACAGCCGCAGTGCATTTTCCTTCTTCGATTAAGTAAAATACATGATCAAGGTGACATGAAGAAGCTTTGCAAGAACATGAAGTTTATAGTTGAAGAATTTTTATTGCCAGCTGGAGACTCATAAGGCCATTTTCCATTGCAGTCGCTTTGCACGCGCGGGCGGAGCGACCAATTTTAATCACGTGAAAAATCAGTCGCCCGGACGCGCCAAGAAAGTTGAAAGTAGTTCTACTTTCATGGCGTGTCCGCGAGCATTCAGGCGGACAAACAATGCACAGGTTAGGCAACTACAGAGAAAGTTGAGTAATATTCGCTCCGCCCGCGCGGGCAAAGCGACTGCAATGGAAAATTGCCTATATGTAGACAAGCGTATGCAGACCGAACAGCGCTACAGTTTAATACTTTTCCGCTGGAATAATTTTCTCTTATAATTTATTTACTTACTAGACATGGCGATCATGGCGGCCAAGCCAAGAAGACACAGAATAGCTTGATTCATTTTTTATAAAATCTTGATCTTCACACTTCACAGCGTCGCAAAAATTTGTAACTTGTGCTGTGCTCAAAGTTCTCACCTCCTTTTATACCAAACGGGTCTGCAGAAGTGAAATTAATTTGTTATTTTTATTTTTTCTGTTGCTGGGAGAAATGCCGTGGAAACTGCAAGAAATGCCTTAAATAGCTGTCAATTGAATAGCAGTTCATCCTTACTTTTTAGTTTTCAAGTGTTTCTCTTTATTCGAGTTACGAAACTGCCTCTAAATATGACATCAATTATTGAACTAACGTCATTAGGCCTAATACTTGTGTACTTATATAAAAGCGTAAAGATATTACGTTTTTTGCATGGAGACTCACTTGTTTAATGCTATTAGAAACGAACATGTATTGCGTTTTTTCTTTGTTATTTAAATTAATAATAACTGTGCAGTAATTTTTGGAAGTGTTTTTTAATTTATATTGCCAAGAACGATAAAATTTGGTGCCGTGATTTATAAATTGCTGTTTTTTTCTGCTAATGTCGAGCACTTTCTTGAACAGTAATCTTATAACCGGCATTTGTTTTTAGTTTTATCTAGTGCCTATATAACTAGTAAAATTCTTGTCAACAAAATATTTTTTGCGTTAGAATCCTCTAATCTTAATTTAAGTTCGCAGCTAGGAAGCAAGCATGAGGTGCAGAGACGTAAACACGCCAAACACACGTCAGGCCTTATATACAGTTAATAAATCTGCATCAACTAGATATATACGTTTTTCTCTCGAAAAAGTTCTTAAAGGTAAATGGCAATATATTTTTTTATTTTCTCCTTTGAAAGAACATTTAAAATCGTATAGAGAACTCTTTTACCGTTTTTTCATATCTTGCTTACTTCTACAAATATTTTAATCGAAAGAAATGAAATGTCCGCCATCTTGGATTTTTGTAGATATGCATGTTACGTCACAACAGGGGTCACGCAATATTTTTATCTAGACAACCACTAACCATTTTGCACTCAAAATTATACTCTGTATGCGCTTGGAAATATCAAGATCACTTGAAACCTTTAAAACATCTACCAATCAATATTTGGTCAGCAACGAATACTTTTATACGGTTAATCCCTGTTGTGACGTAACCAAAACTACCGTTAATAAGATAAAAAATGTATCCAAGATGGCTGACATGTCATTACTTCAAGTGAAAATATTTCAAGAACTAAGCGAGATATGACGTATCGTTAAAAGAAGTTATTAAATAGTTTCGAAAGTTCTTTCAAATGAGAAAATAAAAAATTAACTACCTGTATTTATATACTATTAACAGAATTAGCAGGATTTTAATTACTATTCAATGAAACGTAATATAATTATTATGTAGCAGATATTAACTGAAAGTATGAGTGCAAATACTGTATACAGTGAACTACATTTTATATTTACAAAACTTTGGATGGGAAAAGAGTAATTGTCCGATTTATTTCGTTTAACTTTTTATTAAATTCTAAATGCAGTTTTTCTAAGCAAACTCCCTGACAGCTTGTCTATAAATTTAGAAATTTTTCTTCAGAAATCTTGGCTGGGTAGATAGGAGTTGACTTTCCTGAAGTTTTGAAGTAAACAGACGTGCAGAAATGCACACACAAAAACAACAGGTCACGTTTAAACCCATTCAGGGTTTGCACAAATCCAGCTTTGAAAAAACCGGCCACAGGTTAAGTAAATTTCTTGGTATTGGGACCAGTAAAAAATAATATTGTAATGATTTTAATCATGCATAATTTGAAGTATTGCCAAGCTCTTTAGGAGCTGGTTAATACACACATAACATTTTTACAATGCAATTTTTTTTCTACAAAAAGACTTGCGTAACCTGACAAAGATGAGGAACCACAGTAATGAATATAGTGAGTGCAGCTCAATATTAATAGACAGTGTTCTTTGTTTGCATATGTCACTGCATGTGAGTCGTCTTGCGCCATTTAGGTTGATTCTAGAGTTTATATTTTAATAGGTAAGGTGCATGAATCGGCTGATGATGTTGATTCACTATTCCTATATAGTTTGTTAATTGTAGCGTATATTGTGCAATTTTCATGGTTTCTGGCTTATATATGCGACCAGGAATGACAAATATACAGGGTTATATTGAGAAAAAGATGAGATAAATTAACATGTTTGGGAACTTTAGATAGAGATTATCGATAAACAGAGGCAAACATCAGAGACAGCAGCAAATGTCAGCCTTTCACCTTTCCATATACAGTAAAATTCAAGGAGTCGAATCAACTCAAAAAACCTAGAAAGGCATGGGCGTACCGGGCGAGGAGGGCGGCAGCCCCCAGTTTGTTGGGCAGTCGGGCAATATTCGCTCAACAGTCGGGCAATTTTGGTTTATTATAAAAATAAATGGGACAAATTCTGCCAATTTTGTGGGAAATTCTGTTAAATTTGTGGTCAATTTTATGATGTTTGGAAAATTTTTGTGATGTCGGAAAAATTTTTTGACCCCTAAAATGGTACACTAGTAGTAATATAGGTACCGTTCGACCCGGATTTTTGAGGTGTTGGATGAGGTGGTGTGAGGTGGTGGAGTGTGAGGTGGTGGAGTTTTGAGGTGGTGGGTGTCCACCACCTCATTTATAATTAATACTCGTCCAATTGAGGAGGAGTAATGACGTCACTCATTAACATACGTCATAATTATATGCAATGACGTCACGCGGGCAGGTTTAAACAAGATCGGGCAAAACTTGCTGACTAGGCATTTTTAGCGTCTCTCCACGTGTATGATACAATGGAGGGATTAATGTTGGCTTACTACACACGTAAAAACGCACAACTTGTCAACAAGTTGTCAATTTAACAAGCTTGTAGCAAGCTTGTTAACAAAGTTGCTACAAGCTTGTTATTTTCTCAACTTGTAGCAAGCTTGTTGATATCAAGCTTGCTACAAGTTGTTGATTTGCAGGCTTGTAGCAAGTTGTTGGAACAACTTGTAGCAAGCTTGTTGACAACAACTTGTAGCAAGCCTGTTAGAACAATTTGTTAACAAGTTGTTGTGATCATCAAGTTGTAACAAGCCTGTTGTAACAAGCTTGTAGCAAGGCTGCATTCAACAATCTTGTAACAAGCCTGTTGTAGCAAGCTTGTTGCAAGGCTGCATTCAACAATCTTGTAACAAGCCTGTTGTATCAAGGTTGTAGCAAGGCTGCATTCAACAATCTTGTACCAAGCCTGTTGTAGCAAGTTGTAACCAGGGCGCTATATATATAAGCGCCCTGGTTGTAACAGTATTACTAATATATTTTGCTAATTTTGGCTATTTACATTGGAGTATTTTGCAGATATTTATTGGTAATTATTGCTGTAACTTATTTAATAGAACTAGCCCGGCCTATTTACTTTAAGCGACACTTTATGTCATGCTTGTTTCCTTTTGCAAAACTATAGTTTATTGATTTTTAACTGATTGGAGAAATATATTAATAATGGTAATTGAACTGAGTGGAGTGCAATTTGGACTGAAATCAAACGCGTGATTACAAAATCGCAGGACCGCGAAGTGGGAGTGTGATTTGTAATCACAAGTTTGATTTCAGTCCAAAATTGCACGACACAAAGTTCAATTTCCACTTTATTATATTCATTTTGAAATTTTAAAACATTTTTGTAAACCGGAAACGTTTTTGTTTGCAAGACACACCTCCGGTACCTCCCTGAGTGTTTTAGCATAGCAACAATGAGCGAACAAAATACAAAATGAGGATTTGTTAAAGTATATTTTAATATACGTTCAAAAATCTAAATTATTAAAGAAATGAAAACATTTATAAAGAATAAGAGACAACACAAGTAAGTTTAAAGATATTGTAGGCTTTACGAGTGATTTGAAAGAGTTTTGGTGCAGTTTTGTACATTTAAAACTGAAAATACGATAGGCGAATTTACCTTTGTTTTCCCCCCAGGTTTTCTCCGATTTATATTTGCTTTTTTAGCGTTTTGATCATATTTGATAGAAGATTATTTTCTTAATTTGCCTTTTACTATTTGTAAAATTTGCAATTCTTTGATAGTTTACTTTTATAGCTATCCATATTAGTTTGTTTTTATGTGCAAAAAATTGCTTAATTTTAAATCATTCATGACATATGTAATTTTTTGGTTTTTGCTCATTTGCCATTTCACATTTTTCTTAAAATTGATTGGCTGTTTGAATCCTATGATTAAATATGATTGGTTGGCTGAAGTCAGCATTCTAATGTGATTGGTTCACAGGAGTGCGATTTCAGCACGATTCGTGCTGAAATCGCACTTCTGTGAACCAATCAAATTGCAGGAAACACCATTGATTTCAAAATGAATATAATAAATGCGGTTGTAAATGCTCAGTGGTTCCCGCAATTAAAAAGTTGTGTTGAACATAAAAAGTTGTGTTATAAATAGTTGTAAAATAAAACGTTGTATTGAAAATAAAAATGCTCAGTGGTTCCCGCAATTAAAAAGTTGTGTTGAAAATAAAAAATCATATATCGAAAATGTGTTGCAGACTAAAAAGTTGTTGATGAATATACATGTTGTGTACAAGAAAGTTGTGTTGCAAACAAGAAGTTGTGATGGTTAAAAAAATTTATTTTTTATAATTAAATTTCCCATAATTAAACACATATGATAACAACATAATTCCAATTTGCTTGCTAATTTGGAATAATTATACTGTAACAGTAATCATTGTTCAATCTTACTGTCATTCCAATTGAAGTGTTGCTGAAATATTGATTCAATACATTACCTCGGGCTGACCAATTCATTTGATCAAGTTCCTCGAGATATTCATACACTTCCTGTGAAAGAACCAATTCCAAGTATTTGATCATTTCTGGTCACTTCCTTTCTATTTATGATTGCTTAGTTGCACAAACAACAAAGGTGATTGGTGCATTCAAACTATTCAACAGGAAGTTTACAATTATACTAGGAAGTGTATGAATATCTCGAGGAACTTGATGAAATGAATTGGTCAGCCCGAGGTAATGTATTGAATGAATATTTCAGCAACACTTCAATTGGAACAACAGTAATTATAAAAGTTAATTGAGTTCCAAAACAGAATTTTGCTAGAGGTATTTTTGTTTATATTTAATACGTCCTCTAGAAAAATCCTGTTTTGAAACCGAGTAATAACGTTTAAAATAAATCATTAATTTGTTAAGATTCTGGCAAGGGAATTAGAAAATCATTAATTCTTATGCATCATGTTTATAACAATCTTACCTTGTACTTTAACTCTGTAGTTTGTATTTATTTACTAATCCTTGATTCCTTGTATGTTCTTTTCAAAATATACGATTTTTTACACCAAACTTGTGTTGTCTATTTTTTATTGTTGACACCCCCCGGGAAAACACGCGAAGTGATATTCACACGCGTGTTTTTTTTACCCGCGGGATTTTTCACGAGTCGCCATGTTTGTTACAAGCTTGATGAAACAAGGTTGTTACGGATTGAATTTGACAAGCTTGCTGCAGCATTGTTCCAACAAACTTGCTCCAAGTCAGTTGACAAGCTTGCTACAAACTTGATGCCAACAAGCTTGCTACAGCATCGTCACGACAGAGTTGCTACAAGTCCGTCGACAAGTTGCTACAAGTCTGTCACAACAAGCTTGGGACAACCAGTGCGAGCACATCTTGTGAACAAGTTGTTGGTGCAGACTTGCTACAAGTCTGCTGCAGGTTTGTTACAAGTTGTGCGTTTTTACGTGTGTATGATTGGTTGCTTGATTTAACGAGCGTCTGGATTTTTGAGGGTGCGTAAGGGTGCGTTAATTAATATTCATACAAATGAGGGTGCGTTAATTAATATTCATACAAAGGAGGGTGCGTAAAGGTGCGTTAATTAATATTTATACAAATGAAGGCGCGTAATGACGTCACTCATTAACATACGTCATAATTATATGCAATGACGTCACGCGGGCAGGTTTAAACAAGATCGGGCAAAACTTGCTGACTAGGCATTTTTAGCGTCTCTCCACGTGTATGATACAATGAAGGGATTAATGTTGGCTTACTATGATTGGTTGCTTGATTTAACGAGCGTCTGGATTTTTGAGGGTGCGTAAGGGTGCGTTAATTAATATTCATACAAATGAGGGTGCGTTAATTAATATTCATACAAAGGAGGGTGCGTAAAGGTGCGTTAATTAATATTCATACAAATGAGGGTGCGTAATGACGTCACTCATTAACATACGTCATAATTATATGCAATGACGTCACGCGGGCCTGTTCGGGCGAAACTTGCTGACTACGCATTTTTTAGCGTCCCTCCACGTTTATGATACAACAGTTAGGGCTATACACAAGAGAATATGTTGTTGTCTGGAGTTTTATAAGTACAGCTCTAGCATTTTGCTGTTATTGTCAAGTGATTCCTTTAATTTAGCTCCTAGAGGAGTAAAAAATCTGATACTATATGAAATAGCATTAGTGTTATATATCTAAAACTTATATATTCGGGGCATACAGCTATATGTTTTGTGGTTAAGTAATATATATTATCAAGCGTCAAAACGCTGAGAAATAGCATGCGGTAAGAGTTATTATGTATCTACAATTAAACTAACATTTAAATCCCGGTCTGCCATATGAGGTCTATATACGAGAGAATATGTTGCTGTTTAGAGTTATATAAACACATGGAAATTAGAGGTTATGATATATAATTGTCAAGCGATTTCTATATTTTATTGCTAGTTTTTTAAAGTACTAAAACTCGGATAAGGTTAATAAATTTAAGCTATATTAAAACACACCGGTTGCTATGTGTTGTTAGGGTGATACTAATTAAAGGATTAACTTTTATCAGAGATTTGCATTTTTCTACTGTGTGGATAAATACGGGTAGATTAGGATATTCATTGCGCGGGCGTCGCGGGTTATCCGTGCGGGAAGAGAGAAAGCGATTTAGACAAGACAGGAGCGCTTTGCGGCCAAAACTTGAAAGACTTTGTGGGGAATCCTGTAATATAATGGTTGTCAAGTCGGTCATCCTAGTCAAAGACAACATGACTGCCTCATGATGAACGAAAACGAACGAGGGCAAATAAGGAATCTATTCGTCACAAAAATCATATTTTAAATATATTTTAGACATATTTTAAACTAAACAGTTTCTAATCCCGAGTTGTCAACGTCGTTGTTAAGGCAATATTTACATGTTGTTCAACGTTATTTTAGCAAATATTCTACATACATATATACTGTTAAGATGACCGAGTCAGATCATAAGCAAGCTTATCAAGAACATAAGTTAGAATTGGAACAGTTGTAAGATATTTTGCAATAAAAACATGTAATCGTTATATACGTTGTTATTTGTTGCTAAGTCATTAGCGACGCTTGCGTGCATGCATATATTAACGTACAACATATTTGTACACTAATCAGGCGGGCGGATCGCGCGGGTGGAAAAACGGGCTTTGCAGGCAAAAATTTACACAAGATTTCAGTTTTACAATTATTTCTTCAAAATGTTTTAACAAAATTTAGTACGGTCTACTTTTAAGAGCGTAACGTCTAGGTGATTCTTGCATATCTTCTGGGGATAACCTAAGATATCGAATGATATCCTAAGATATCGAATGATATCCTAAGATACTATATGATATCCTAAGATATCGAATGATATCCTAAGATATCGAATGATATCCTAAGATACTGTATGATATCCTAAGATATTGTATGATATCCTAAGATATTGATATCCCAGCTAAGATATTGATATCCTAAGATACTGATATCCTAAGATACTGATATCCTAAGATACTGATATCCTAAGAAAATGATATCCTAAGGAAATGATATCCTAAGATACTGATCAGCTCCTTAGGCTCGGAGCCAGCTCCTTGGGCTCGGAGCCACCTCCTTAGGCTCGGAGCCAGCTCTTTAGGCTCGGAGCCAGCTCCTTAGGTTCGGAGCCGAGCTCTTTAGGCTCGGAGCCGAGCACCGTTTTTGGGGACCTGTTTGGCTTTATTGTTTATTCACCAGGTGGCGAAGAGATAAACACGGTAGTCGCCAATAGGCGTTCATAAAGTGGACTATATTCTTATCAAACATTCGTTCTCCAACAATTCCAATTTGTTTCCTATCACTAGGACCTTGGTGGCTCCTATCTCCTATACTCCTAGCCCTACATCGACCCTAAATCGACCTCACATCGACCCTACATCGACCCTACATCGACCTCACATCGACCCCACATCGACCCCACATCGACCTCACATCGACCCTACATCGACCCTACATCGACCTCACATCGACCCTACATCGACCCCACATCGACCCCACATCGACCCTACATCGACCCTACATCGACCCTACATCGACCCTACATCGACCCTACATCGACCCTACATCGACCCTACATCACAGCTTAAGGAGCTGGCTCGGAGCCTAAAGAGCTGGCTCCGAGCCTAAGGAGCTGGCTCAGAGCCTAAGGTGCTCGGCTCCGAGCCTAAGGAGCTCGGCTCCGAGCCTAAGGAGCTGGCTCCGAGCCTAAGGAGCTGGCTCCGAGCCTAAGCTTACTTATGATCTGACTCGGTCATCTTAACAGTATATATGTATGCAGAATATTTGCTAAAATACCGTTGAACCACATGTAAATATTAACCTTAACAACGACGTTGACAACTCGGGATTAGGAACTGTTTAGTTTAAAATATGTCTTGATTTTTGTGACGAATAGATTCCTTATTTGCCATCGTTCGTTTTCGTTCATCATGAGGCAGTCATGTTGTCTTTGACTAGGATGACCAACTTGACAACCATTACAGGATTCCACACAAAGTCTTTCAACTTTTGGCTGCAAAGAGCTCCTGTCTTGTCTAAATCGCTTTCTCTCTTCCCGCACGGATAACCCGCGACGCCCGCGCAATGAATATCCTAATCTACCCGTATTTATCCACACAGTAGAAGAATGCAAATCTCTGATAAAAGTTAATCCTTTAATTAGTGTCACCCTAACAACACTTAGCAACCGGTGTGCTTTAATATAGCTTAAATTTATTAACCTTATCCGAGTTTTAGTACTTAAAAAAAAACTACCAATAAAATATAGAAATCGCTTCACAATTATATATCATAACCTCTAATTTCCATGTGTTTATATAACCCTAGACAGCAACATATTCTCTCGTATATAGACCTCATATGCCGGGCAGACCGGAATTTAAATATTAGTTTAATTGTAGATACATAATAACTCTTACCGCATGCTATTCTCACCGTTTTGACGCTTGATAATATTTATATATTACTTAAAAACAAAACATATAGCTGTATACCCCGAATATATAAGTTTTAGATATATAACACTAATGCTATTTCATATAGTATCAGATTTTTTACTCCTCTAGGAGCTAAATTAAAGGAATCACTTGACAATAACAGCAAAATCATAGAGCTGTACTTATAAAACTCCAGACAACAACATATTCTCTTGTATATAGCCCTAACTATTGTGTCGCACACGAGGAGGGACGCTAAAAAATGCGTAGTCAGCAAGTTTCGCCTGATCGTGTTTAAGCTCGAACGCGTGACGTCATTGCATATAATTATGACGTATGTTAATGAGTGACGTCATTACGCACCCTCACTTGTGCGGCCCCCTTAATTACCATGCATTTTTAATGATGCGCCGCTCCGCGCCGTCCCAAAAATCCGGATCGATCGGTACCTATATTACTACTTTCGTTTATTTTGATTAGTCATTTAATATATGTGTAGTCAATAGTTTCTTTATGGTTGTACATTAGAGATTTGGAGATACTAATAACTCAATAATAAATAGGCGCACCCAGCATCCTGAAATTGGAAATAATTTGCAAATTTGGATATTTGTTTATATTTTATCCTATTCCAATACAAAATCCAATAATATAGAACACACAATTTATCAAATAAATGTAAGAAAGGTGTTAAAAACTTTATTATGCAATATTTACATTGAATATCGTGGTTGAAGTTGTAGAGTTATATTTGGAATTTTTGAACGAGACATTTTTCGCTTTATTATGTTACATTTTTACTTTGTTCGTCATTCTTGCTTCTCTACAAATAAAAATAGTCCATTTTTTCTTTTTCTTTTTTCAAAATAGCCCAGAATTTAGTTAAAAGTATTTTCATACAAAAAGCTGCATTTAACTTTCGTATACACTCTTTGACAGCTGCCATGTTACCAAAATATCACCCGGTTAATGAATAGTTTTCGGTGCTTTCATTGTATTCGCATTGACCAATCAAATCACGTTGTGAGTTGGATTATCCCAGGGCTTCTGAGAGCAATAAGGGCAGAAGCTCCCGGTAGGAGGTTGAGCGTTTGCACTCATTCCCCAAGGACCAACTTAACAAAAGCCATGGCGGACATGTTTGTGCTCCTGACCAGAGAGGGTTATAAGCCCATGTTACGAGTTACGAAATATATTATAATAATCATTACTATGCAAGCATAAATTTACTATATCCAAATATAGTAACGTAGAGGGTTATAAGCCCATGTTACGAGTTACGAAATATATTATAGAAATATAATATATCATAGAAGCATAGAAACATAATAGCATAGAAGCATATAATCATAGAAGCATAGAAGCTGATCTATATGGTACTATATTTGGATATAGTTAATTTATGCTTGCATAGTAATGATACTATGCAAGCATAAGTTAACTATATCCAAATATAGTACCATATAGAACAGCTTCTATGCTTCTATGATTATATGCTTCTATGCTACTATGTTTCTATGCTTCTATGATTCTATGTTTCTATGATTCTATGCTTCTACGCTTCTATATGCTTCTATCAGTTCTATGTTTCTTTGCTTCTGTGTTTCCATGTTTCTATGCTTCTATGCTTCTATGCTTCTATGCTTCTATGTTTCTATGCTTCTATGATTCTATGTTTCTATGCTTCTATGTTTCTATGCTTCTACTGATTCTATGCTTCTATGATTCTATGCTTCTATGCTTCTATGATTCTATGCTTCTACGCTTCTATGCTTCTATGCTTGTATGTTTCTATGTTTCTATGATTCTATGCTTCTATGATTCCATGCTTCTATGTTTCTATGCTTCTTTGTTTCTATGCTTCTACTGATTCTATGCTTCTATGATTCTATGCTTCTATGCTTCTACGATTCTGTGTAGACTATGTTTATAGAAGCATAGAACAATAGAAGCATAGAATCATAGAATCATATTATAGAAACATAGAAACATAGAAACATAGAAACATAGAAACAAAGAAGCATAGAAGCATAGAACAATTGTTTATCATGGCGGTATACAGTGAATCAGAGAGCTCCGATTATTTTCGTTCATCTAGTGAAACTCAAAGCACTTTTAATGGTGAAAAATATCTACATATAACTAAGAAAGGATCGATCAAGTGGGAAAGCTTTGAATCGCTTCAAAGTTTTTTTAACTCGTTTTTGAAAGCCGAGACGAAATGGACGACGCCGCGTGGTGGCTACAAACAATATGAAGCTGATAATAACCTAGTAATTCGCTGGTATTCTTCATCAAAGTCGCTTTGTTTCAGTGTACCTACCAGTGAAAATTTAAAGTTAAAGCTTATTAACTTGGTGCCTAAACAACAACAAATCATAGACGGCGTCGAGGGCGAAATATCAGTCGATCAAACGTTAGACTATGATGATGAAACTACAAATACGACAGACGATGAACATTCAAATGCTGACAACGATAAACATTCAAATGTTGAAAACGTTGAACATTCGAGTGTCTCTCTGGAAAAAACGCTGATAATTTCAAACTTTTAGAAAATCGTGTGAATGCAAAGGTACTCGAGCTTTCAAGTAAAATCGACAAATTAAAATCGAACAGTGTATGTAACAATGATCTGTCCCAAGAATATATGCAAAACATATAGTACAGGAGAATAAATCGCTAAAAGCAGAAAATGACACCTTAAAACAACGCTGCGAAAATCTTGTATATGCTATGGCGTCACTTAAAGCAAACGTAAGCGATCTAGAGAAGGAGAAAAAATCTCTGCTTATGGTAATAAAAGTTCTTCAGACGGATGCCGACCTATAAATCAGCCAGAAAATTTTAAAGGACAATGGCAATAAATTTTTTTTATTCCTGATATTGGTAAAACTGGACCCCCTGATTACGAATATGCTATTAGTTTTCATCAAAAATGTTTTGTTCTCAAGTTATTTCACCGTAAATATTCAGTACGTCCGCCATCTTGGATCGATTTTCAAAAAATTATCTTTTGGGTCACATGACCTGTGTGACGTCAAGAGCAGGGTAGAATCAAATATGTTTTATTAGGCGCATATTGCGACTTCGTACTTCTAGTGAGAAATTTGGCGCTTTTTGATTACTTAGATGGAAAATATCCACGATGTCAAGTAGATAAGGTATTGCCTTATCAATTTGAACCTAAACTGGGCTTACAAACAAGCGATAGCGGTGACGAGAGCGACTCCGAAGAACAGAGTGAATCGTCTGACGAGGAAATCACCAAGTGTTTGAGGTCGAAAATGCTTGGCGCATTTCGCATCGAAGCCAAAGAATATTGAATTGTTTTGTTTCCACGATAAAGCGTTAGAATACGATGAATAAGATGTATGATTGAAGGAGGCTGAAACACAAGGGGAGAAAGTGCTTTACTGCCTTTACAACACTGTGTCACTGTCAACACATGCAGAATTCAAAGCGAAAATGCTGTCGGAGGGGCTATTAAATAGACGTTTGTCGCTATCTTGAAGATATTAAACTGGCCTCTGGATGACAAAGATTTGGACAAGATACACAAAATGTATAGACTAGTAGCTTACCAACGATGTTCGCGTTGGGTATTTCAGATTTTGGGTAATAAGAACAGAAGGCCACTTCCTGCGTCAGGCTGCGTGTGTTTACACAATAATAGACAATTCGCATTATAGAGTTATTTTAAAACTAGGCAAGGAGATGCAAATAAATCACCACAGCTAGAAAGAGCATACTAAAATGAGTAAAATTGCAAAGTTTAGTTGCGAAATGTTGTAAAATGCGGAACATATAGCCTTGCAAAGTTTGCAAATTTTGTATACTTTTGTATTGCGTGCGGAAATTGCTACATTTTCGGCCCAAAT